TCATTATTATTACCATTTAGTATTTCCAAATTCATGCTTTTAGGCCCAATAAAATGTTTTTCTTTCTTTCTTTCTTTTTTTCAACAGAATTGAATTATAAATATTCATCTTCATTGGAATTGAACTTCTCAGTCGAAGATCTTTCTGCTCTGATAGAATACCTCGACGTCTAATTTGAGGCTATGTTAGTGGATATAGTGTGATTTTGGCGTTACTGACATCTCTAATACACTGTTAAGCCTCAACTGTAAACTAGAATTTCTTGTAACTTTAAGATAAGTACGTGGGACACTCAGAAAGTGTTGAGAAACTAACAAACTAACTTTTATGAAAAAAGTATTTTTATTAAATATTTACACACAATCTCTGCACCAGCTTCTAAACAACGTTTCATGCGTCTGAACCAAGTTTCAAATCATTTTTTCCAGTCCTCCACAGACACCTCTTCCACGGCCTTCTCAAAAACTCAAAACTGTATCCCTTTGGCTTCGAACGCACTGCAATTAATCGGGAGCGGTTGAGGAATAACTGAAAACGCATAACCGCATACAACCACGCACTGCGGCTGGTGTTTAACTTAATTTTATTTCAGTATGACCATGGATTTCTGGCAAGCAGTCTGTGTTGTAGCTTTGATTTAAAAAAATAATAAATGTAAACAACGTCGCCGCCATAGGTACTGGGTACACCCAATAACAGATCAAAGACATTTGAAAGGACACTTTTGCAAAATGTACAACGACGTGCGACAGCATCTAGTTAAATTTTTTAACTACTACAGAATGTCGATTGGTACTTTTGATAAATTATTGCAAATTGTGGGCCGGTATCCCGACATTCAGACACTCCATACCGTAAAGCAATATCAATTTTAAAACCGAATGCTGTTAACGGCCGTGCGTGCGCGACCATACTATTACTATGGGGCACAAAAAAATCGCGCGTTTACAAACCGCGATCCAAACGTAGCAAGTTACGTTTTTTATAATCAGCCTTGCGTTTTTAAAATCAGTCACTGAAAAAAGCCGCCAATGTGTGCGCTTATATAGAAAGCTTTGTGTTACATTTTTTTTGCGGTTTCAGACTTGTGATAAACGCGTGTCTGAAACCGCAATGCGTTGTAAGCCTTTGAGCTATTTTTTTTATTTTAGGGAATAAAAAGAAGTCACACGGACCCAAATCAGGACTGATCAAAGCACGAAAATGTTCTCGATGAAGATCCATTTTTAATGAGAAAAGAAAAATTTAATTGGCTCTCGAAAAAATGCGGAGGGAAATTTGAAAATCGAAAATCAGTGGTGTTTTTACTTTTATATAATCGAAGTTTTCAAAATGATTACAAGTGGCCAGGGTCTTATACATAAACAATTTTTTTCGCAAAACTTTCTGAGTGGCCTGGTACTGCGTTCCAGCAAGTAGTAGATTTTTTGGACACCCATCTAATGATCAACCACTGCGAAAATTGCTGAACTTCAACGATCGAGGTCCTGCAGCTGCGCTTCTTTGCCACACTTTTGACATATAAAAGCAGCAGCCCAAAGTACGCACAGCAAACTGGAAGGCTATCTTGCGATACGTGCGAACTGAAAAACTAAGTTAGTTTTAGTGAGTTAGCGATCGACGACGTGCTTCGCCGGTGCAATGCAATTTTAGTGACATCCACTGTATTAAGTACTTATACGATGCTCGGAGCTACGAATTTTTCACGTCACTCGCTACAACGCTTCGCACCGCTAGCTTCTGTGTCCGTGTGCCCTCACTCTTATTTCCTTAATTAAATCAAAAATATACAATATACTTACTTGATTATGTGCGTTATTAATGATCTTCATTACAGGCTTTCAACGATCAACCAAAATCGATAATCGAATATTTTAAATATAAACCTGCCAAGTATGAGTCAGACTTACGGAAGATTCTGTACTACCTAGAATATTTATACAGAAGGAATTCGTCAGGTTTGTTATAGTCTCGGTAACATGACAATCAGCGTCATTCCAGTCTGAGATACATTTATCATCATCATCATGATATATATATCTGAGAGACATTAATGAGTCTTATTCTCATACCCACGAAATTAACAAAAAAAATCAGTCGAGCCGTTTCGGAGAAGTTTTGTTGCAAACTCTGTGACTCTGATATGAGAAATTTATAATTATTAGATATGGCAGTCTTCTAATTAAAATGGACGGTATCACTTATTGTCAATTTACAAACATACAAGTTAGGTGATACATTTGAAAAGTATTCCGATAGCTGTTCCGAAGACAGGCGGTTATATAAAACAATAATGTCATCACATCATAGCTGTAGTAGAACTTTTTCACCTGAATTAAACACAGCTCAAAGCTCTGAACGGATTGCGCTAAATTTTAAGACAATAGTTTCTAAAATTCACCCTCTAAAAGAATGGTACGGTGGCCAAAATTTGTATGGAGAAATAAGGGGATTATTCATATATTACGTCGGGCGATTTAGGGGTAGAGTGGGCTTGACCATGTCTTACTTTTTCTTACAAGGGGGTGGGAGGGTGTCTTAATAGTTATAACGTAAAATCACAAAAATGTGCAAAGTAAAGATTATACTTTGACTAAGTAGTTTATTACTACCAAAATAATAAAGATTACTAGCACCTTTGTAGATACAAATAAATATTGCTAAAAAATGGTATTTTGAAAATAAACATTAGAACAAAGCAAACGCGTAGGTACTCATTTATTCCTTGAGATTCTTACGTAAAATATATAAAATAGGGGTGCAAATAAAAAGTAAACTAATACGTGTATCATTCTTTTTAAGTCCCATATATTGAACTACGATGGCGCAAGTGGTTAGCGCGTTCGGCTGCGATCTTTTGGATGGGTGACCAAAAATTACTATCTCGCGCTCCTCCGTGCTTCTGAAGGCACGTTAAGCCGTTGGTCTCGGCTGCATCTGCAGTCGTTAGCACCCACCAATACGCACTGGGACCGCGTGGTGGGTCATGGCCCAATCTCCCTATTCCATCCATAGGGAAGGCCTGTGCCCCAGCAGTGGAGACATTATTAGGCTGATGATGATGATGATATTGAACTACAATAACGCGAAATTAATAAATTACGAATTAAGAAATAAATATACCTCTAATTTCAGACAAGCTAAAATAAGATATTAGATCAAGAGTGAGTTAAAATAAAATGGTGTATGTATTTCGTATTTTTACTGATAAAATAATTTAGAAAACAATAAAAGAAATACCTTTATCACTTTTCTCACAAAATATATACATACAGGTTCCTTTCAAACTTTAGCCGTTCTCAAAGACATCTTGTTACACTCAGATTAATTCCATCTAAAGCTTATCACTATCATTACTTGGGTGACGTCAATTGTCACAATTACTTATCTCTAAAGGTACACTTTATTTGACCGCACTGACTGGTATCTGTTTAATTATTGTTTAGTATTTGAGATGGAATTTCACCAACATGGTATTTCAATCAATAATAATATTCATCATCATCATCATCATAATCTCAGCCGTACGACACCAAACGTGGAGAGTCACCAGGATCCCACGAAACCCGTTCCGGCAGGCGAGGAAACACTGTTGGGTTTTTAGTGCAGCTCGTCCCGAGCAGCCGCTGAGCCAGTTTGGCTGAGCGGGTGGGCAGGATTTGGGGGGGGGGGGGGGAGGAGGAGTCCCACATAACCTCGTCTCTCACCCAGGAGTGGGGTATGCATCAAGCATTTTACCAACAAAAAAAAAAGCCGTACGACACCAATCGGTCCTAGGCCACGCGCATCCATTGGCTTCCCACGTTCTTCCCACCGAGCGTCGTCCGATGCGTGGTCGCCATTCGAGAACCTTTCCGCCCCAACCAACTTTCTCTTCGCTATCTTTACCATCCGCGGAAGTTGGTCACAATTACCTACCGAATGTTACCTATTTCGCACTCTTATTTTTCTCTACTAATCTACCATGGGAAATTAAAGAGAGGTAGGGCATAGTGGATTTTCAGCTCGAATTGTAGCGCCCGGCAAGTTACCTTGGGAAAGTAACCTTACAGAAGACCACTGTAAAATAGCACTATCTTTTGGGTGGTGTTGTGTTTCTGTCAATGAGTATGGTTCTAGGGCTCCACGGAGTAGGGGATGGGAACAAAGTAGGCAACATGGCGAGAGTGGTATTTTCGTCTTTATGCTATGGTGGCCGCTTACCAGCAGGCGGACCATAATGCTTGTTTGCCACCCTGAACATGAAAATAACTAAATATATAATTTAACTAGCCGACTCGGCGAACTTCGTACCGCCCAAAAGTAATAATTTGCAATAAATTCAAATTGCGACTATAATTTGAGATTTAAACTATCCTATCTCTCAAGTTGGATCAAACTGCACATGGCGTGCGAATTTTATTATAATCGGTTCAGTTGTTTAGGAGTCCATTGAGGACAAATATTGTGACACGAGATTTATATATATTAAGATATGAACACAACGCATAAAAAAAATCTTGAAGCGATACATCCCGCCAATCATTCCAAACTACAACGTAAGATATTTCAGTTCAAATTTACTAACTGAATATGTACGAGTGACTAAAAATTCGTCATCTAAAAGTTCCCCCGTCCCTTGGATAAAGTAAACTAATATGTCCTACGGTCCTATGTTACTTTAATTTGTAAGTTAATCCTCTTTGCATTTGCATATGGTCAACATTCAATAATGAATCGACCTGGAGAGCCATAGCCGGATCTTCTCAATGCAAAAAACCTGCCTAATAAATAATCCAGATTTCATATTCTCTCTACTTCGCATAATGACATAGTAACCTTTTTTCATTGTCAGTGTATGATATTTTAATTGATTTTCTAATTGATTTTAAAGTCCTTTTGTTATTTGCCATAGCGGGTTTCGCAAAAAATTGTGTTAGCCATCCCTCAAAAAACAAAAAATACTATAATATAGGTACGTAGTGACCATGAAAGTTTAAAACTAATTTATTTGTTTACAGGGATAATCCCAGAGAGATTCGAAACAAAGCGGAGAAGCAAAGGAGAGATAAGCTGAACCAATCCATCGGTGAACTGGCTTCTATGGTACCGCCCGTGGTGGCGTCAAGCCGGAAAATTGATAAGACTGGCGTCTTACGGTTGACTGCACATTATTTGAGGGCCCATCAGTACGGTAAGAGCATATTATTATTATGTTTTAGACTCCGTCTTCTCTTCTATGCGCGGTACATTTGTAATTTCAGCCCCCTCTTTATCACATGTTTGAGCCTTATTTCTGGGATAATTTATGGCATGTGTATAATTTAATAACTTTTTCTACGAGTGCCTCTCCAACTGGTGAAGGCTGGCAGTCAGCTACGCATATTTCAAGCACTCCTGGGCGACGTTGAAAAGCTCCGCGGCACTTGTAATTCCGGGCCATTCCCGGATATTGCGCAGCCACGATTTCTTCGTACGTCCTACAGCTCTTCTTCCGGCAACTTTACCCATCCTTAATAACTGAAGAAGCTCGTATCTGGGGTGCCTAAGCACGTGACCTAAACAGGAAACTTTTCTTCTTTTGATGGTCTGCATCAGTTCGCGTTTCCTCCCAGTTCGACGTAGGACCTCAACATTAGCAACGCAAAGCGTCCAGCTTATGGCTTACATGCGTCTAAATGCCCACAACTTAATTGCTCCTAAACAGTTCCGTAGTTGATCTTTAGGGGTCCAGGCCCCACATCTTTATAGAAGTATGGGCCATATTATACTGTTGCTTCTTCACGCCTCTTTTATTCGCGTTGGAATAGTGGCCAACCGTGGTAAAGACGATAGAACACTCTTAATAATGTGGCATTTCAGCCAATCACAAGTTACCGATTAAGACAACCAATACAGTGAAGACTCGTTCATAGGTAATTGAAAAGCGATCACCTTCTGCTTAAAAAAATGGGTTCAAATGCTGGCGTTTGCTTGAGTGATCAGCAAAAATATAGTTTCCCCAAACGTAGTTGCTTTTGTACACTTTTTAATGTATATTATATTCATTATTTAGCATTCAGTTCATAAGCAAAAGCACCAGCTTATGAAAGCTTGTTCTATGATGTGTTTGGGACTTAATAACAAGTTGCTGTGATTTAACCGGAATATGTGGTACCGGAGTACCGGTAAAACTATCGCTTGAGTCTAAACTGTATAGACCAGGGCGGATGGTTTGAGGTCGGGAAGGGTGGGCGGAGGACTCTTTAGGGGTTAAAACGGTTTATCGTGATTTTTGGGAAAACCACAACTCCTATAGAAAAAAAATCAATGGTAATATCGTAGGTAACCAAAAGATCTACAACTTTTGTATTTACACTTTTTTCCCATAACCTAAAAATATCTGCGAAAAATCAAAATAACCGACTTTTTATTTCTTACCGTAAAATTACTTTTTTTCATGGTGGTTTGGTGAAAACTTACCTTCATATATAACAAACACACTGTTTTATTTTTGGTAGAATATCTACCAAAAATATAATAAAATACCATACCATAAAAATACCAATAAAATAATAATAATCTTTATTCTTTCTTAATATACATGCACAACCAGTAAATCGACAATACAGTATTAAAATAAAAAATAACTTACTTAGTTTTATGTTTTAAAACGAAACAATACTTAGTCGTTGCACTTATGTGCAAGTACTTATGTACTTAAGGATATCAATATCACTTCAACAAAATCAAAGTAAAACTAGCTTGTAGCAACTTATTATGCTATTAACTTTAAAATAACCTACGAAGTACAAAGAATGAAGTTTTGAAACTATTTACGAATTTGGGTTTCTGGTTATACTTAACACCACTCACTGTTTATGGCACTAGGTATTTACCAAACATAGCGTTTGCATAAATATTACACAGTAGCATTGACATTATATACCTAAAATATGTTCTCTACTGTTATGCAATTTTTAAAGAATTTACCTCCCGTGCTAATTATAAACTGTGTTACGGAGAAGTAATTATTCTCAATTTATTCGAACAAAACGTATTAAATACAATCTTTGATATAATTTGAGCACTTAAAATACTAAAATTTTGTGTTTATGTACACTAAAGTTCTCACTTTTTTTGTTACGTGTACACAGTTACTGCTTTGATACAAAAAATGGGTGTTATTCAAACGGTTTCCACAGTATATTTTAAGAAGACAGATACTTTTCACTTCGCAATAGTGGCAAATTAAAAAGGGCTAGAATCTATTAATATATATATAGTATATTTATAGTAAGTATATTGATTTTTTTGATAAATGCCTATATAAATTACAAAATGATATTAGTTACTACGTAAATATTATAATAAAGATACGACATAAAATTATTATTAATAGTTACCTTTACGTAAATATATATTTGCATAATTTCTCTCTTTCTATGGATATAGATTTCAGTTTCTTATATGGATTAATGCTCGCTCGAATAATAACGTTATCTTTTCCATTGCAATACCCAAATGGATACATTCAGTTAATTAATAACTCCAATACATCCTCACAAATACCAATTTAAACACTGTTTAACTATTAACTATTTTACAATATCTGTGAGTTGCAATATAATCTAGTTTTAGAAGGAATTCGTTTAGCTTTTTCCCGCAATTATATCTAGTAATAATTTAAATTCTTTGTTAATTCTATTATAAAGTAATGGCCCATGATAGTAAAAAAATGTTTGCCAAAATCTGTTTTGCTAAATAGGCTCCCTATATAGCGTATCATGTCTTATTTTTGTCATGTCATCAATAGAAGGCTGACTATGTTGTTTTACTAGAATATATTTAATATATGTAAACCGTAACCATACTGTAAGAACCGAACACTCTTTGTAAATTTTTATCATAGGGAATTGAAAAGGTTTGAAGTTAAGAACTTTTGGTATACACCTCTGTTCCCTTTCAATGCCTATCATAATAGTTTAATATTAGTGTACAATTGACTGGAAAAGGGTTAAGTAAACCATCCTACTGATGTTTGTAACTTTGAGGTTCCTAATTTTTTTAAATATCGGTATCAATTTACGAATACGGCTTTTCAGAGTATCGATTTGAGGTTTCCAATTAAGATTGCTATCAATTATTATATCTAGATAGTTGGTGTTATTTGTATGAGATATTGTAAAGCAATTGCAATTTTGTTTTCCACATTTTTGATTAGAATGTGCCTTTAATATAAAATCATGAAAAGATTGATTATAATTGTAAGTGGAAAATGTTAAATACTTGGTTTTATGTAAATTTAAGGTGAGCAAATTATTTTTAAGCCAATTTGCTACAATTATCATTCCATTTTCAGCAGTGGGGTGTACATCATCCCAACTTGATCCAGAATATAACAACGGTGTCGTCCGCGAAAGATATGATTTTCGTATTTGGTAACTGTAAATTACAAAAGCATTGATATAGATGAAAAACAAAGTTGGCCCCAACACTGTACCTTGCGGAACTTCATACTTGACAGGCAGCTTTCCACTGGTTCATGGCCCTAGACTTACGAATTGAGATCTGTCACTAAGATAATTTCTGAACATTTCCAGTACCTCTAATGCCCGCATCCTCCAGCTTGCATAACAGCAAGGGAATGGAAACCGTATCAAAGGCCTTGGCTAGATCCAGGAAAACCCCAATAATCTCTTTTTAACATCTAGTGATTTGGCTACATATGATATCAGATTTTCAATAGCATGGTTGCTGGATAACAGATCATTGTTTTCTAAAAAGAAAATCACCGATTCAGTAGTTTTTCAAGAATCTTAGTCAAAGTTGGCATAAGTGATATTGGTCGGTAGTTTGTAATTTTGTCACCATCTCCCGATTTGAAGAAGGCTGACCTCACCATGGAATGATTTAAAAGTTTTGGAAATACACCGGTTGATAGACAGATATTGCAGAGGTGAGTTATCGGTGGTCCAAGTAGATCGCAATACTTTTTAATAAACAGTGACGATATTCCATCCCATCTGCAAGATGCTGTATTTTTTAGGGATTTGATAACCTTTTGTATCTCTAGCAAATCTGTTTCCAAGAGCAATAAAGAATTTGCATGTCCGTATTCTGCTTTTAGAGTAAGATGCATTTTTATCTCCTTATTTTCCGTATACTAGGTTTAGTCAGTAAGACGACGAAGATAAGGATACGTATACATTGCTTCACACACACTGCGTTATGACTCGTTAATACGTCTCACCAGTTAAGCTACTCAAGACAGAATAGATGATAGATATAAAATACCATAAGGTAGGTAACTCCTTAACTAAATATTATATCGAAAAGGGATCTTATTTTTAATCAGAAAACTTCCCGTTCAAAAAGTTGCTTTAAAAAAAGGCGGTGGGCCTTTTGTTCTTTGAAACCTTACACTTTCTGGTATTGTACAAAAATATACATTGGAAAATTTTCTCGGAAAATGCAAAAGCTTGGTCACTATTGGCTTCGTGACCTTTTAAAACAGGAAACCGGTTAAACGTTATTTTTATGAATACTTCATCTGACGAAAAAATATCAAAGGCAAAATTGTATGTAATTAAAAGGTCTATAACTTTTGCATTTATACTTTTTAGTGATTGTTAATAAAAAACCAAAAACATGGTTATTTTCAGTTTTCCCTGATATTTTAGGTTATTTGAAAAAAATGTAGATAGGAAAACTATATAGGTGTTTAATTACCTACAATTTGAGCATTGATATCGGTTTCACCTTTTTGCTCCCTAAAATTATTGGCCCTGGTCTAGTAGTTTGGAGAAACAATATAAGGGTAGAAAAGCATAGCCCCTACAATAGTTTTCAAAATAGTCCTTTCGGCCTATTAGTAGAACTAGGTGGACAAGGTCTTCAGGATGTAAAGATTTGGAATATCGTTTTCCTGTGATATTCCAAATCTTTACATCCTGAAGACCTTGTCTGGCGTCTAAAACTTGTGTTGGCATTGTGATAGAATTAATAAAGGTTCCTGTACAAGAATCTTGATTCAAATTCCGACTCGTACTAGAGACACTGTTATCATTAAAGATTTTGTCATACAGTTTCTTTAAACATATTATCTAGATCTTATTATGATGCTAAAGGAATCATTATTGACACCTTTTATATCGTAAATATGAAGTCAATGTGACATCATTTAATCCATACAAAGTCGTAGTAAAATATAAT